TGTGCTGCAGTGGCTGGTGATAGCTTGATAGTGCTGAGAGTTTAACCCTTGTGCTACCAGGGAGGCCCCAACACAGGATCCTATTTTATCTTCAGTGTGCTGTATATCTTTTTTTCTGATCGTTTGACATGTGGAGATGATTAAGGTGCTTTCCCTGGCGCAGGTCAAGATGCTTTTTATAATGGTGATGATGCTGCCCTATTGCAAGCTCTTCATTTGGAAACCCAATAGCTCCCTCATGCTTTCAGGCTGAGACAACCGATGAGTCACTGGAACAGGCTGTGAGAGCTGAAGGCCCTTGGACGTGATGTCATGCAGCCTCATTACTGAGGGGGTGAAGGGACAAGCTCAAGGTCACTCTGTGAAGAGCAGAGCCAGTTAACCTCCAAATACAAACTGCTAGGCTAGCGAAAGAAGAGGAAGCGCTAACTTTGCCACTTGAAACTCCTTCCCTAAGGAGTGTGGCATAAAATGAGTAAAACATCTTGTAGATGATTTAAACAAATGACAAAGTCTAGAACCATGATCATAACCCATCAAAAATGCGGCTATGATAGTTGTCTAAAAATACACATCCTTTTTTATGCTGAGTAGTATTCCATTGTGTGTCATACCACATCTTTCTAATCTACTCATCTGTTTTGGGGCACGCAGGTTGTTTCCATTGCTTGACTTCTGTAAATTGTGCTGCAGTGAACATAGGAGTGCATATTTCTCTTCAAATTAAGGATTTTTGTATTCTTTTTTTTATTTTTTTTTTAAATAGAGGCATGTTATTTATTTATTTATTTGTTTGTTTATTCATGCACTGGGTACAGTCAGAAGCACGGGAGGGTGAGAGAATTCACCAGAGCCAGAGCGGGGAGCAGAACAGGCAGAAGGACCGAAGTACACTGCTGAGGGGAGCAGCGGGCGGCAGGAGAGGTCTGCGCGCCATGTGGGACCCTCCTCCGGTGGCTGGGGAGCAGCCGGGGATCGAACCGGCACCGCAGAGATCGAGGGCAGCTTCGCAACCCAGCGCTCAACCGCTGCGCCACCGGGGAGGCCCGGATTTTTGTATTCTTAGGGTCAATACCTAAGAGTGAAATTGCTGGGTCATACGGTAGATCCACTTACAACATTTTGAGAAATCTCCACACTGTTTTCCATGGGGACTAGAAATCTGACTGTAGAACAGGTTACAGAAGGAAAGGTTAAAGGGGGGTAGGAAGCACTATGGCCTAAGGTGGAGAGCTATGGGTGTGCTGGTGGAGGTGCGATGTGGACAACAACATTTGAAGGGGGGAGACTATCCTCTAAATCACAAACACTATAAATATACGTTTCTTCAATTAAAAAAATAATCACACTGAAAAACATGTTCATCCTTTATAAAACCAGGGAACTCAAGCACGTAATATTTTGCAAGACAATTTAGCCATGCCATATGTGAGCATGTAATACTTATTAGTTGAATTTCACTCTTCTTTTGTTCAAATTCTTGTTCTCTCACTTTCATTAAACAATTACTTTAAGAGTGTTTCCTTTTTCTCCATGTTAATCAAAGATAGAAAATAATTGCTGCAGACTTCTAGAAACATTTAAAATGTAAATTCTAGAAATCACCAAGAAGGTCTGAGTTAAGAAGATCTACATGATTTGCAATTGTTTTAGGATTGTCAAATCATCCAGAAAAAAAGCCAGGATTTGTTCCATATACCACAAATAACAACAGGACAGCTTTATTTAAAAAATCACATTAGTCCATTTGAGGATGACTGATGTCTGACCAAGGGCTTAGAGGAGCCTTTCCTTTTGACATGAAGGGCTCTATTTACTCTAAACATCTATTATAAAATTGCGTGTTGTTTGTTCTTTCTTAAAAGGGGTGCAAGCTGTGTCAGTGTGCCTGGGTTGAAGAGTAATTTAAATAAGCCCTTTGGTTTATGTTGCATATAAGAAGGCTTTACAAGATCTAATCTTTTCTAAACCTGTTATGTTCTTTGGTTCAGCAGAGCTTCCTAATTGTAGCTATTAGTTCCCCTTTTTTGTGGTCTGTTCTGTCAATAGACTATTGAGTGTTCAGTAAATTAAGCCCAACCAGCAGCCAACACATCAAGACAGACGTTAAATCATAGCTTGGCTGCCTTTATTCATTACTAGTATCTGGGAAATAGCTTTTAAGCACAGGGACAGGATTTAACATGATGCACATTTGTGTCATTCTCAAGTTTCCATACTGTACAATCAGGTATGTGAGGTTTTTTTTTTTACCAGGCAACAGGTGTGTTCTTGGAACAAAGTTCAACCCCCATTTCTGGCTTATGTGAGAAGCAGCAGCTGCAAGCTTAATGTCAATGACACATGGTTCTATAAGAGAAAAATAAACTACTTGTTGGGTGTATTAAAGCAATGGGCAGATGGAGGAGAGCTGCCTGCACTTTCTTTTGTGTTGTAGAACCAGAGTCTGAACTTTCAGAGGACAAGTGTTTTTTTCTTTTTTCCCTCCTTCCTTTTTCAAACACTAATTAGGGAAAAACATAAATTTCTTAAGCATTACAGACTCATTATTGAGACTGTTCCTTTATTTGAGTCACACTGTTCTCAGGCGGATGGATGGAAAGAAGAAAAAATACAACATAAATCAACCTACACTGGTTTTCATTTATACATGGAATCCAACAAAGCAAATGCACGCACACAAAAAACACACAAAGCAAAACTCATAAATACAGAAAGCAGAATGGAGGCGGCCAGCAAGGAGGGTTTGGGGAGATAGGTAAAGAGGGATGGAATTAAGGGGCACAAACTACCAGTTTATAATGGTGCAGTGTATACCATGGAGACTGGCGTTTATAGTGTTGTGTTGCAAATTTTGAAAGCTGCTAAGAGAGAAGATCTGGAAAGTTCTCATCACAAGAAAAAAAAAGGCAATGACTATGTGTGATACTGGACGGTAATGAGACTTAGTGTGGGTACATCTGGCAGTGTAGGCAAATATTAAATCATTACGCTGTGCATCTGACGCTAATATAATGTTATGGATCAGACTTCAGTGAAAACAAAAGGCAAGCTACGCTTTATATTTACTTATACTTATAATTCACTTTATTCAAAAGACAAAAAGAATGTTTACTGTGCAATTTGGGGAGACTTAGTAGGCAAATCTACATTTTTTAATGCAAAGTTCAAATATGCTTATTTATAGACTCCTTACTCTCTAATAAAAACTTCCATATAGAATTTTGTGAGCTATTATTAATAAGAGTTATTCTGTGGACCTCAGATGCATTATGTCAACATTTATAACAACAATAATAATGATACAATAACTACTGTAAGAGTGTCCAAGAGAGTAAAAGTCAATCACTCAAAAATCTCAGTATATTGTGGGTAATATTCTATTTATATGCCAGCTTCAGATTCTACCCTGCTGAAAATATAAGAAACCCAGCCACTATATTACTGCATACAATCTTTCTTGTAAGCAAGAATATTCAGCTCAAGAGCAGACTAGAGTAATATATCCTATTACACAGACTTTTCTAAAATTCAGGTATAAGAACATCCCCTACTTTTTAATAATTAAACTTATTTCTATATTGAAATAACATTGCTCAATGAAGGGTTTCAGGTTTATAACCTTATAAACCAACATTTACAGGCTTCAGGTGTATAACCTTATAAACCAACATCTCACTCTTTTGACAGTGGGTAATTCAACTGGAATATTTAATAAAAGTGGAGGCCATGAGAAGCTTCATTTTTCTCAGATGTGGCAAACAAATGCACTGCAAACATGAAGAGATAAGTACCTATTTAATTACACTCCTGGAACCTCTAGTATAACCCGAGTCACCAGATCCCCTGAAAAACTGGTGTTGGGTGTTGCATATAATGCCTAATTGCGTGAGGAGCAGAGAGAATCCCCTTTTACTTTTTTTTTTTTTATCCCAAACCACAACTTTATTCACGAATCAAGTTTTCTGTGAATCTATACTGAAAATGGTTTTGCTGGGATTGACTCATTGCTAAGAAATCTATAAGCACATGGATTTGGAATTCAATCCTCCGTGAAAAACAAAGGTAAATGAGAAAGAAGAAACTGGTGATAAATTTCTAACTGGTTTGGTTATTACATTCAATTTTCATTAAATGCATGCAAGTAATGACTAGCTTCAGGAAAGACGCTAAACATATTAAATGTATAAAAAGCATCTAAAACTAGGAAACTGGCCTAAATATCATTAAATGTGTCTACCAATCCAGTTTATCAAATTCTATGATTTTGCTTTTCCTCAAGCTGCTTTTTTTTAAAAAAAGGTAAAAAATACGTATAACATAAAATTTACCAGCTGAACTATTTTTAAGTGTACAGTTCAACTGTGTTAAATATATTTACAATTTCCAGATGTCCAGAGAGTTTTCTGGAGTTTAGTTTGCATTGCAAAACTAAAACTATATACCCAATAAACAAGTCCTCATTTCCCCCTCCCCCTAGTCACTACCAACCACCATTTCCTGTCTGTTTTTGTGAATTTGACTATTCCAGGTATTTCATATAAATGGAATCACAGAGTATTTGTCTTTTACTTCCCTTAACATACTGTGCTCAAGTCTTCCATAGAGCATGGGTCAGCATTTCTTCCCTTTTTATGGCTGAATACTATTCCACTCTGTGTGTATGTAGTATTTTCCTTACCCATGCATTTGTCAACAGGCACTGGGTTTGCTTCACTACCGGGCTATTGTAACTAATGCTATGAACATGGGTACACAAATGTCTCTTTGAGATCTTGCTTTCACTACTTCTGGGTATATAATACAGACAGGGAATTGCTGGATCATATAATAATTCTGTCTGAAAAGTTTTGAGGAACTGACATTCTCTTCCATACTTGCTGTATCATCTTATATTCCCAAGAGCAGTGCACAAGTGCCCCAATCTCTCGCTATCCTCACCAATCCATATACATTTTAAATAATCCTCTCCATGGAGGACAGGAGAGGAAAGTACTCACATGAGTCTCCACGTCCCCAGCAAGGATCTTACTCTTCTTTAGAAACTCGGCCACCATGCTGTTCATCAGTTTATCAAAGGCTTCCACTGAGGGGGCCAGACCTTTGGAGGGAGAACACTGTTACTGCCTGGCAATGTAATAAAAAGCTGGAACAGTTTTACCCTAGGAAATATGGAAGTCTAGTAACATGCATGTCATCCTCATTCTATTCACTAACTTTATTCGCTCAATCAGCATTTTTTTCAAACACTTCTCAATGACTCAAGAAAACATGTTTTCCTATTTTTCAACTTACTGAGTAAGTGTGTTCTTTCTTTTAAATTTATTCATTTATGCATACAAGAACTGGGGTACAGGCCAGCCGTGTGGACATGGAGATGACTGCTGAGCAAACGCACCTTACGTCTTGCCTCCAAATTACTGGAAACACTGAGGTGACAATGGCCCAGCTTGGTGTGCCTTGCGTTTCCTTCTCTGCTTTCTAGTTGACAGAAAAATATCTACGTTTCTGACCTTATGTGCCCAATATTGAGGAGCAGAATAAAGAGAAATCCAGCACTAGTTGCTATTAAAGCACAAACCCAATCTTGGGATTTCCTTCCTTATATTGTACAGAAGTATCCAGGCTCATAAACTGGTAGGATTAAGCTCCGTTCCTCTTCCCTGTTGCCTACTTGGCCATTTGCACAGGCCCAAGAATACAGCTTTCTGGATCTACAGTCTAACTTCTAAGCAGCTATTGAAGCTAAGTGATCTTCAAGTTTAGAATACAGCATGTACCAACTTCTAGAACCCCAAAGGGGTGTAAGCCCAAACATTCCTTATGGATCCATTTGGAAACAGATCAATTTGTTTGCTGCTGTGGGAGAGGCCCGAGAGGTCTCTGCTAAGTATTTACAGTGGGAGAAAAGTTTAGAAATGTGACAGAGGCTTCTACATAGCAGAAGGTACAATGATAAAAGGGAATATTTTGCAATTTCCTTTCATCACTCAGCTCTGCTCACACCTCCTCCGGGCAGCCTTTAATGACCTGTCTTTCTTCCCAGTCTGCATCCTTTGAGCATCCCTGAATCAAAGCACTTCCAGCTCTGAATAGTAATGCATTGAGACCAAAGTTTCTGGAGGATTAAGACCGTGTATAATTCATCTTAGATTTCCCTGCACCTATCATAGTACTTGTCATTTGACATACATGCAAAAATAGTTCATCTATTGTTGAGCCAAACTTACCTGACTATCAGGGGGAAAAACATCATCAAACACCTTTACACGTATCATAAGAAAGGAAGTCTTTGATCTGTGCCTATTATGGGTTTGTAATGAACTGAGTTCCTTATAAAAATTTCTTTTTAAAAAAGAAATTTTCACTTTAGTTAGAACATCATTGTAATGATATGTTTATATTTAAGGCTAGAGGTTGTCCTTAGGATTTATTCAAAACAGAATTTAGAAAGTTGCCAAAACTTATTAAGAAGAAAGGAAGAGATGTTGTTCAGGATTTGTAATTTTTTTTTTAAAGATTTATTTATTTATTTATACAAGCACTGGGTACAGTCAGAAGTGCGGGAGGGTGAGAGAATTCACCAGAGCCAGAACGGGGAACAGAACAGGCAGACCGACGAAGTACACTGTTGAGGGGAGCAGCGGGTGACAGGAGAGGTCTGTCACACCATGTGGGACCCTCACCTGGCGGCCGGGGATAGAACTGGCGCTGCAGAGGCTGCGGGCAGCTTTGCAACCCAGCGCTCAACTGCTGCGCCACCGGGGAGGCCCAGATTTGTAAAATGTTTTAAGGATGACTACCATGAAGACATTTTACTAAATATCCTACTTACCAAGGACCCAACTTCATTTCAAGGAGGATTAATACATCACTGGCTAAGTTGTTTTTAAAAAATCTTACTTTAATAACTGGTCTAAAATGATTTACTATATTGGAAGATCTTTGCTTAAATATGTAACTAATTTATTTATGAGCCTTTTATTATTGCTTAACCTATCAATTTTCCCAGAAATTCTTTTTCCTTCAAAAATAAGATTTTTATTTTTCAGAAAGAAAACATGAAATGTAGCCTAATACCCCTTTATGTGAAACAAGGTTCAAAATACTGGGGTTTTTTGGTCTTCCTTATACTCAACAACTTTACACAGCATTCTGGGAGTTGGATTTTAACCTGATTTCATGTATTCACAGGCTGTATCTTTGTGCTCAGCAATCTCAGAGAAATGTCTTTTAATCACCTGATGCCTGAGGTATAAGGAAACAAAGTTACTGAAGAAAACATGAACATATTTTCTTACAAATAAGGTTTACTGCTTCTCATATGCCCACTGTACAGTTAACAAAAAGAGGCTCAAAATGAAATCATAGATGTGTCTCAGTTGATGTGGAAAAAACTTCCAGTCCCCCGGCAGCCTTTCTTTAAACAACACCCCTTTCAATTCATTCAAAGCATTTTAATTTTCATTATGTTCAGGGGGAGAAAAAAACCTGCCTGCGCATTTGTGCTCACACAGTAATTTTTGTCCCAGGGCATGTAATATAAGGCACAGCTCCAACTACGCCTGAAATTCTAGAAGCCCCAATGTGGATCTTGCCTGGTGAAAGCTTTTTTGGAAGCCTCTTCTTCCCCAAGGCTTTTCTCAGCCCCCTAACGCCAGACAGGATTCAAAATGGGTCAGATAAGGAGGAAATGCATGTGAGACAAGAATAGAGTTGCCAGATTAAATACGGATCGTCCAGTTACATTTGAATTTCAAATAAATGATGAATAAATTTTAGAATAAGTACCAGGCAGTGTATCCCATGCAGGATTTGGAACATGCTTATACCAAAAAGAAAAATAAAAAGGTATTTTATCTGAAATTCAAGTTTCATTGGGTATTGTGTATCTTTGGTTGCTAAATCTGCAACCTTAGACCAAAGATGTATTTTATCTGAAATTCAAGTTTAATTGGGTGCGCTGAATTTTTATTTGCTAAATCTGCAACTTTAGACAACCTGAAGAGGACTTAGACTTTGCCATATATGGTATTCTTTGAAAGAAGTAGCTAATTTTTATTGTTGATAATTAACTGAAAAAATTTTAAGTGTGTCATTAGTCTATCATTTTAAAAACCTATTGGTTTGGAGTAGGCAAAGGTAAAATAATATGATATGATCATGTTATATCAGTCCTATTTTGTTTCACATCAGACTAGCTTCCTGTAAAACTTCAGTTGTTACATTGAATGGATTGTTCTCTATAACATTAAAATCGCCAGAATGATAATTCCTTCCAATTTACATCCTAATTGGGAACTTTGGTGTTTTTTTTTTTTTATTATTATTACTCAGGTAATATACTTAGTCGTCGAGTGCAGAACAGCAGTACTAACAGCAAAATGCATGAAAAAAAGACATTTGGCTTATGGGTTATGCTTTTAAAAAGCATAGACAGTGGCAATTTTTGTGGATTGTGCATTGAAACTTATTTCAGGGATTGTTTGCATCTGGTTAATGTCATGGTCACAAATAAGGCAAGAAGCTGAGAAACTGAAGAAAGGAGATAGAAATATTTCTTGAGAACTAAATGATGGGGACAAAATGAAGTGACACAAGCAGAGCCTGGAAATGACAATAGCTTGTGGTCCTACCTCCAATGACACCATTGAGCTCCCCACAGTTCCCAGGAGGCTGGAGGGACCCCGCAGACAGTAGCTCCAGGCGGCAGACTGCTCGCTCCAGCCTTTCCACCAGTCCCTGCATCTCCGCCATTCTAGAAAAACACGGGCACAAATGGAGGCCATGTGAGCGCCAGTGAGGATTAGCAGGCTGACACCATTAAACTTCACAGCAGCACGAGGGGAAATGAAATTACTCAGAGGGGGCTTTAATTACCTACAGAATATTTCCATATGTCAGAAAAACATGGGACATTCAAAGAACATGGGACTCAGAACAAGAGCAAAACAAAATCAAAACAAATAATACACTTTTCTATTCAATACAATGACTTGTTTACAACCCCCATGTGCAGTCCACAAATATTCACTCTCTTGACAACATCAGCAAGTGTCTCCTGGATATTTCTTTGTTCTAAGATGCAGTCAATGATTAGCAACTTACTTAAAAGCATGTAAATATACATATCTCACCATTCATATTGCCAACACTTATTCCTGCTAACTGGTGGGGAGTTATTTTAACTATTTCCAATAAATCTTTCTGTTAAAGTATAATTCTCCAGGGTACACTAACCCCATGGATAATCCCTATTGACTCAATTACCTGAAGTCATCAGACCAGCACAGGAGACCTATGACCTTATCAAATTGTGCTTATTTAACAGACAAACAGACAACAGCTCCAGGAGCTGACGGACTTTAATTTAACATCAGTTTGGTTCAGTGTTTCGGTTACTGAATTATTTTAAACGATAATTACTTTGAATGGTGGAGATTTTAATTTAAAATATTAAAAATGGCCATTTCTCTTGGTCACTGGTTAGTTTTAGATGCATTGAAGTTTTAAGTGAGATGGTTTTTGGAGACAGGGGTCTTCACGCTTGCCTGGGATAAACTGGGTTTGAAATCGACTAAACAAGTGGGCTGCGTATTTATCCTTCTTGATTCCAAGCAGTCTTAGACGGCTACGTTGAATGAGCACAGGGCAAGCACCTTCGAATGACTGGTCCTGGAGTGTAATGTTATTAAGGCAACCTCTGATGAATGAAACCCAATCTAATTTGGCCAGGTTTATGAGCTCCAGCTTACAGGTACCATAACCCTGGTCAGGGTGACTTAAGACTGCTTTTGGCAAAATCAGGTTGCTGTTGCTGAGAGTAAAACATCCCTCATCTTAAGCAGTGTCTGCAGGTCTTCTTACTCTTAAGAACTTTCCAAGCATCGTTCTGAGCAAGAGAGGCCTCTGCCAATGCCACCCTAGAGTGCAGATAAATTTTATTGTGCTAAGCGTGTAAATATTTTGTATTTCTGCTGGGAACTGGGTAAAGTGTTCTCGTTTGTATTTTGTGTCCCGTTAGTTTTGAGCTTAAACACAACGATAACGTGCCATTGCCATTTTTCAAAGCAAGATTATACTTATCCAAACATTTGGAGAGTTATGCCCAAAAGTCAGATGGTCATCAGCTATGGATGGGGATGGGGTGTAAGAGTAGGGTAAGGGGTGGGAGGGAAAGGGAGGTTCACTGTCTATTTTGGAAAGTCATCTCTCAAACTGCCAGCAGCAAATCTTTCAAAATATGGGGCAGTGTTCTCTGCATGGCTGAAATCAGCATCTAATCCCTAGGGGATTCAAAATTAGAAGTTTCTCATCTATTCTTTTCCTCTTAACGTCAGAGCTTTTGCTTTCCTTGCAATTGAAAAAAAAAAAAGGAAAAGAAATTTAATTGAATCCTTTATGTAATCTTGCAAGGGAGCTGGGGATCCTGTAGGTGGGTGAAGGCCATTTGAGAAATGATAAAAGCCCCTCAAATCTTTTAATAGTTATCCATCTGTTCCTAGTTTTTTGTGTTCCCTGTTACTCAACTTGCCAAATGTTACCACCACAGGCCTAGCCCCTGAGAGGAAAGTATGTGTTTGCTTAGCTAGCAAGCTCCCTGTCCCCCAACAGAAGCGCACCAACCACCTCTAGCAGCTCTGAAAGCTGTTTGAGGCAGGCCTGTTACATTTCACACGTAGGACTACTGTCCCTCACTGCGGCTTAATCAGCCTCCCTGACAAGCCCCAAACTCACACTATCTGATAGGGCTCCATATGTTGAAAGACAGCAGGAGTTAGCCCACAAACTGCAGGACCAGGCAGATTGGCGTGGAATGCAGTCTAAGAGTGACTCAGATGTCACTTCACGTAAAATCACCAGGAACCTGGGCCTTATCAGAGCCTCTTAAGAGGCCAAAATACAGTTCATGCAAGAGAGCTGGAAAGATGCATCTGGGTTTCAAATTTGGGAACAGTGTCTAAGAGAAAAAGAAGAAATGAAATAGTGAATATACCAGAATATAAAAAAATGTACACATAAGCATTCCCAGGGAGAGAATGATGAAGTCTGAGATGGCTGTGCCCTCTACACACACACACACACACACACACACACACACACACGTATCCTCAGCTGCTACCCTGGCTCTAAAGAATGAAGAAAGGACCGGACTGCAGATTCTCCAAATTCTTCCCCACATTTCCATTCGCCTTAGTTTTTCACAGTGGATTGAGCCAAGTTTTGATGAGGAGATGGGAGCCAGGAGTTAAGAATTAGGATAGGAAATGATAGGGCAGCCCAAGCAAATGCAGAGGGTAAGGTCAGGGCGAGGAATGAGTCAGAGACAGGTGGACAGACAGATGAGTTTGGGCCAGGAAGCCAGCAGGGATAGGGATATGGCAGGATGGCTGGAGACAGAATATTTTAAGCAACAGATGAGCAGCAGAGAGATACAGCTGGAGAATCCGGAGACTGGGTTAGATGGGGCCGTTCAAGCTTGGCCTCCAGAGCTCCTAGTCATCCTACTCAAGTAAAAGCCAACCCCAAATTGCAGGTCCCAGACCCTACATATCTTATAGAGGATAAACACCAACATTTGACCAGAGTGTGAGGGTGGCTGGAGAAAAAGAGGAGGAGGATGATAAAATTACACAACTTTCTCTTTTTATTCATTGGTTTTAGGAAATTCTTTTTTTTTTTTAAACTGGGAGAATTTTTTTTAAGATTTATTTATTTAATTTATTTATACAAGCAGTGGGTATAGTCAGAAGCTCGGGGCGGGGGGGTGAGAGAATTCACCAGAGCCAGAGCAGGGAACAGAACAGAACAGGCAGACTGACAAAGTACACTGCTGAGGGGAGCAGTGGGCACAGCAGGAGAGGTCTGAGCGCCATGTGGGACCCTCACTGGCGGCCGGGGATCCAACCAGCACTGCAGAGGCTGCGGGTAGATTTGCAGCCCAGCGCTCAACCGCTGTGACACTGTGGAGGCCCAGGAAATTATTCTTGAAGCTAATTATAATTCCTTGTTTTCTATTCATTGTTAAGTATTCTGGTTGGAGTTTCTTTGTAGTAGCAGCTATAACAAATCCTTGATTGTCTTTTTTTTTTTCTTATTTGAACTCCCTCCTACTTTCCCTTCTTTGAAGTTTAATTTTTATTTTTATCAAGGCAAAGCCAGCATAGAATCTGAAGAGTCGCTAGTTCTACAAGGTCTGTTGCAAAAAGAACAATCCTATGGCTGCCTCCTTCCCTTCTTTGTCTGGTGTCAACCATTGTCAATTATTCTGTGCTGTTTCACTTAGTAATTACCTCCTTATCTCTGTACAACAGGCTTATATCTCTATGTCATGTTGGTTTTTTTTTTTCCCAGTTTAAGGCATTAGCCATTGAGCTTTCTCCAAAGACATAGCAGTTTGCCTTTTTCTTGCCCAATCCCTCCCACCATATACAAGTGTATTTCCTATGTCCCACCCTCTTGATAGTATTACATCATGATTTTCTGTGACCAGTAATCAGTGTTAACTCAATTATGGCAATTTACAGCTGAGCCATGAGGCATACTAGGATTATTTTCCACATTTTGCACTTTTTTCTACTTATCAGGTTTTTTGTGTATAGGTTTCCAGTGACACCCCAAAGAAGAGCATTATTATCAAACTTTTCGTTAAGGTGAAATGGTTTAAAGCAATGACATAACTACCATTAATTTTTTTAGTGTTTCCAGACCTAAAAGGTAACCGATTAAATCATGCCAAATAACACACAAAACCTAAACTAACACACACACAGAGGAAAAGCAGGAACAGCATGACAAAGGCACAGCCTGTGTAAAGTCGTCCCTGGGAAGGAACATGACTGTGCCACCTTTCTGCTGTGGTCAGTACAGCCTGACCACAAACACTGAATGCTATTTTTACTTTTTCCATAAAAGTAAAAATCCTTTTAAAATCTCTTTCACTTAATGAAAACAGATACTGATGTAAATCTTTTGTAAAAGCCAAGTAGTTCTAACTTGAACTTTCAAAAAGCCAGGGCACCTGTACTTCAAAATTACTTATCTCCGCTTCTCAAAAAACTAAAAATACAAATTCCACATGATCTACTCATCCTACTTCTAGGTATTTACTTGAAAAATACAAAAACACCAATTTGAAGAGATACATGCACTCCTGTTGTTCATTGTAGCATTATTTATAAAACCAAGAACTGGAAACAACCTGCGTGCCCATTAACCGATGAAGGAATAAGATGTGCTGTATGTACACCAAGGAAAACGATTCAGCTATTAAAAAAAAAAGATGAAATTGTGCCACTTGTAACATGGATGGGCCAAGAGAAAATTATGCTTAGTGAAATAAGCCAGACAGAGAAAGACAAATACCATATGACTCACTCATATGTGGTATATAGAGAAAACAAACAGATGAACTACATTTGAAAAAAATAAACTTGTGGTCTGTAAGGAGGGTGGGTAAATTGGGTAAAGGGTTCAGTGGTTGGTGAAGAATAGAATTGGATGTTTACGTGCTGAACTTCATGTAGCTTATATACATGTTGGTTCTCAGTGACATACACCTGAAACTATATAATGTTAAAGTGTAATGTCACCTCAACAAGATAAAATAAAAAATTATTCACCTCCAAACTCTTCCTCCAAGAGGTAATTCTCCTTTTAACAGGACTCACTTGGTATTCTATCAGGTTTTTTCTCCAGAGGCATCTCTTCTGGAGGATTCACTCCTTAGACTGATCTGTAGACCTGCTGCACCCCTGTCACCTGGGACCTGCCTTCAGCTTCATTCTAGGAATTACTCCCCCCTCCCTTTTACATGGCATCTAAATCCTTGGATTCTATATCCCTCTTTTTCTTGGCATACTTCCTTCATTGGGAAGAACATTACCTTCTGAAAAAACGTACATGAGAGGCCCTTTTTTCTGGAGACATTGCAAGTCTGAAAATATTTTTACTTTGCCTTCATGCTTTATTGATAGTTTGGCTGAGTACAGAATTCCAGGCTGGACATTTTCCTCAGATTTTTAAAGGCATTGCTCTACTGTCTTCTAGCTTCCCAAGTTTCTGTGGAGAAATCCAAAGCCATTCTGATTCTTCAACCTTTGAATGTAACTTGTGCTTTTCTCACTGAGAAAGTTTTGGGATTATCTCTTTGTCCCTAGTCCTTTGAACATTCACAATAATATCTTGGCTGTGGGTCAAATATTGTCTTTTTAAATGACTTTCAAGAGGCTTAGAAAAGATAAGAAAATGGATATTGCATATTGTTTGTCCTGGGTGAATTTTAAAACCAAGTTTTGGAGGCTATTGTTTTTTCCCCAAATGGAGAAGTTAGCACTTGAAGTATTTACACAACTCAAATTTCTCTCATGCCCACTGCATACATTTATAAATGCTTCATACACTTCAGTAAGAATACAGGCAGTTGACAGTTTCTCATATACTGTCTTAGATGGTACCATGTTCTGGAAACATTTCCTAGGAGAAAAGGTAACTGTCATTGTTAAAACAAATCATTTTGCCTCATTGGTCAAACTTACAAACCCATCCTTAAAATACACATATTTACTTTCTAACACCACTCAAATTTATGTCCAAAGTCCAAGGTTATGCCACTAGTACTAGCACTTTGTCACTTAATTAGTGAGACAATATTTCTAATAATTTTCACCGCAGTTTCCAAAGACAGTTCCCCATGCTGGGCCTCCCTGGTGGCACAAGGGATTAAGCACCGCACTATGAAGCAATCCGCAGCCTCTGCAGCATGAGTTCGATCCCTGGACAGCCAGGGAGAAACCCACATGGCGAGGCAGACCTCTCCTGCCTCGCCTGCTGCTCCCCTCAGCAGTGTACTTCGTCAGTCTGCCTGTTCTGTTCCCCACTCTGTCTCTGGTGGATCCTCTCACCCCCCCGCATCTTTGGCCTGTACCCCAGCCTTTGTATGCACAGATAAACAAATCTTAAAAAAAAAAGAGTTCCCCATGCTTTCACATATTTTATAAGGTCTCAGTTGTTTTGCCTATTTTCAACTGTGATATTAGAATCATTAGCTGTAGGGCTTTGGGGAAAGAGCTTCATTTTGCTTTGCTTTGGCTACAACCCACACATGAGGTTACATGCTAGAGGTATGCATGTAAAGGCATATCCAGCCAGTGACAACTATGTTACCTGCCATCATGGAGACACCTCATCTTGCTCTGGGCGGGAATAATTAGGTCTGTAAACCACTACATCAACCTTCTGAGAATTTGAAACGCTGAGTGATCATCTAGATCGGGCCTATGGAAACAACTAGCTGAAAACTTCACATCATTATACCTTTATTATTACTTTCATCTTCCTATATTCAATATTTCATTCTCCAATATTTCTAAAAGAGGTTTCCTCAAGTCCCTGTGTAATGATTACTAGAAAATGAAACTCTTGGGCTTCCCCGGTGGCGCAGCGGTTGAGCGCTGGGTTGCGAAGCTGCCCGCGGCTGCAGCGCCGGTTCGATCCCCGGCTGCTCCCCGGCCACCGGAGGAGGGTCCCACATGGCGCGCAGACCTCTCCTGCCGCCCGCTGCTCCCCTCAGCAGTGTACTTCGGTCCTTCTGCCTGCTCTGCTCCCTGCTCTGGTGAATTCTCTCACCGTCCCGCGCTTCTGACTGTACCCAGTGCATGTATAAACAAACAAACAAACAAATAAATAAATAAAACATGCCTCTATTTAAAAAAAAAAAAAAAAGAAAATGAAACTCTTGTCATGTAATCAATAGTTATTTTAATCACATACTTAAACATTTTATAGGACCTCCCTGGTGGCCTAGGGGTTAAGTCTCAATGCTACCACTACAACAGCCTGAGTTCGATCCCCAGCCAAGGAGCTGACCCACATGGCACAGTGTATTTGACAGTGTATTTCAGTAGATCTGCCTGTTCTGCTCCCTAC